TTCTGAATGTTTGTTTTTAATAGCTCCCTAGTTTTTGTTCAATATCCTCTTCATTTCTGAGGATACTAATTATAGTCTCCCTTCCATTTTTTTTTTGTTGTTGTTGTTGTTGTTCCTGGAATTGTTTTTGATCCTCTGAGACCTTATTTTCTGTTTCTGTTTTGTTTTGGTTTATTTTTATGTTAAGTGTGTTTCCCCCAATGCTTGCTGATCCTTGGTTATCCACTCATCTCTACAAGCAAGGCACTAAAATCTAACTAGAAGCTTGGAGAGGGCGGGTTGCACTTTTAGCTAATCTACTAGATCATTTTATTATGTAATCCCCTTCAATTTATCTAATTATTCAAGCTTTTCCCCACCTCAGGGTCTTAGAATATGCTATTTCTGTAGTTTGTTTATTATTAAAATGTGTTTGGCTGAAGTAACAGAAATCTGACTCAAAGTAGCTTACACAAAAACAAATATGGTTGTTCTCATAGCAGAAAGCTCAGAGAGAGAATGAATGTTACAGTTGATGTATCCAGTAGCCCAAGAGCATTATCAAAGACCAAGTTTCCTTATTCTGCTTTGCTTCAACCTAAGGTTTGTACTTCAAAGTCATAGAAGCCAAAAGCAGCAGGGGCTATGTGCGTCTTTTTTTGTTTTGTTTTGTTTTTTTGTTTTTTTGTTTTATGTGCGTCTTTATTCAAGTCAGTGGGAGAGAGCTCTGTCCCTCTCCTCACAATGGAACAAAAGTCCTTCCCTTTGTTCTGATCAGGCCAATTTGTCACATGTTAATTCCTGAAGCTGTAACTGCCACCAGGTGAATACAATTCAATAATTGGTTTAGGTGCTGGTTCTTGAGTCAATCAACACTAAGAGTGATGAGTTTTCTTTGATTGAGCACCCTTGGAATTCAGGGAGGAGGTAAAGATTTTCCTAAAACTGTATTGCTCTTCCTTGATAAAGGAGGGATTTTAGAAATGTTTGGAATTCGCCCGCACTGCTGGAACTCTCTTCTACTTCCCCTACAGCTGGCTCCAAGCCTCAGTTCAAATGTCGCCATAGAAGTGGGTCTCTTCCATTACTCTTCATCCTTGCACTTTTAACACGTAATACAGTTTTTTTTTTAATATTGTTTAGTTTGGCTACTTGTGAATTGTAAGTCTCCTCCACTAAAGTGTTAACTTCATGACGTCGGAGACCATGTCTATTTTGCTCACCACTGTATACCAGTGCCTAGAAGGGTCTGGCACTTACTAGATGTAGACTAAATATTTGATGAAGAATATGAATGAATAGTATCTTCCTCTCTAACTGAATCTCCAAAATATATTTTGAAGCCACACACTTTTGCCAGTTCTGCTACTACTATTTCAGTCCAAGTGGCCATCTTCTGTTCCTTGATGTAATAGACATCTTTTGTTTTATCTGTCTAGCATTTTCCTTTTCTGGGAAACAAACTCCCTTTCTTTGATAAAACTGTTTCTTCCCAATGCTAACCATGTGGTTCTGGTAGGGGCTGTTGTCATTATATCCTGCCCCACAACCACCTCCCCACCACAGGGGTAAGCTCCTAAACCATCAGAGTACTGTCCTGGGATTTTAAAAACTGAAACTAAAGGAAGCAACTCAGACTCTCTCTCTTGGACATGCTGTGAGATTCTAGGCAGGAACCACTGGTGGCCATTTCCTATCATGTTAAGGGATCTGGGTCTGAGAAAATAAAGCAAAGAGACATAGAGGCATCACCCTGACATTGGTTTTAGTTTCCCTTACAGTTAGTCACACCCCAGCCCATCCCCTAGTTTGGTTATGTAAACCAACAAATTCCCCTTTTTGCCCAAATTGGTCTGAACTGCATTTCAATTTTCTGTTACTAAATTAGGCCTGGCATCCTGGATGTCTGTGATAGCCTCTGGACTGGTCTCCCAATTTCCATTTATCTGCTCTAATCCACTTTCCTCCCACAGAGTGATCTCTTCAAAATTTACCTCCTGCTGATGAAGAGCACAGGCTGGATTAGACTCTGAGCCCCACCCATTATTATCTGAGCTTCCTTGGGCAAGCTCAGACTGTGCCAAAGTTTCTAAATCGGTAGAAAGGGGATAATGACACCGGAAAAGGTCATTGTAAGTGTCAAATAAGAAGAGTACACTTAATATATGTAAAAGCACTCATTTAATGTTAGCTAGCAATGGTATTAGCTGTAGTGACTCAGATCATATCACTACCCTACCTACTTACTGACCTAGTTTCATACCATGCTCACTAGGCACAAGTGACTTGCCTATTATCTATCCACTAATCTTGCGGCTGTTGATGGGATGACCTGAGGGAGCAGGGCCTTAGGGCCTTCACACATGCTGTTTCCTCTTTTTCTTTTTTTCTTTCAGCTGTTTCTTCTCTTGAAAAGTTCCCCTCACCCCCGTCCTTGGCCTGGCTAACTCTTCATCATTTTGCCTCAGCTCAAATGTGACTTGTTTCACTTCCTTAATCAAATTTAGGGTCTATCCATATAATCCCTTCACAGAACCAGCTGTACTACGATTTCTTACCAGACAGGTAGATGAATCATTCACAGATAAGTCTTTATTTAGATTACACTATCTGTTTTGATGGGTAGGTGCTTATGCTGTGTGTCCTGTTAAATATTTTGAATACCATCCTTGTGTAAAATCTGTTCATTTCTTTCAAAGCTATTTGCATAATATATATACACACACATACACACAGAAATACTTATATATGTATTATTTATAGAGAGAGAATTGTTTCTTCTCTACACTATATGCTGCATGAGCATGGTGATATGTATCTTTTGTTCGTCACTGTATACCTAATGACTAATACAATAGTTGGTACACAGTGCATAACACAATGAATATCTGTTGAAAGAATAAGTGAACTTTAGGGGATGGGGAGTAAATTTCAGTGGTAGAATGCAAGCTTGATGTACACAAGGTCCTGGGTTTGATCCCCAGTGCCTCTGTTAAGGGGGAAAAAAATGAGTGAACTTTTTGGCAACTCCTGGAAAAATAAGACTGGAGGTATGGCAACCAGTCTAGGTTCTGTTAGGATTGGAAATAGACTCTCGAGCATGGTGGGTAGAGTTGGGTGAATTAAGAGGAGACTATTTACAGGATTGGTCACTCTCTCACCCACCTGAGCTGCTGAAGTTAATTAAGAAGTAGCAGGTGTGAAAGAGAACTTGCTTCCTCGTCCTGCACTATTTCACTCATCTCTAGCTAGCTCAGATTTCCCCATGGGGCTGGTTCTGTGGTTTCTCTACATACAAGGGGACCCATGGGAACCTGGGGCTAGGAAACCAGATTCTTTTTATGAACTGTGGTCAGTCTGTTGCTGTAGGTCTGCAGATGATGTCCCCGCCCTTCAAGTCAAGTTTCCTCATCTTCTCACTTCATATGTGGGTTCCTAAACCCTGCCTCACCTCCTCTCTGCTTCAGAGCCTTGGGTCCCTGATTTAGTGTGGGAGAGGGATACACAAGGATGTGAATACCAGGAGGGAGGGACCACTGGGGGTCATTTCAGAGACTGGCTGCTACACAGGGGTTAGAGGAATCTGGAGAAGGAAGAAGTCTCAGGATTTGAAAAAGGAAGATGGAGGAGACATTAACTAAATATCTCTTATGGGCCAAGACCTTTACACCAAATTATCTATATTAATCTCTTCCACAATACTAGAGGGTAGATATTATTCCCATTTTTCATATAAAGAAATTGAAGCATGGAGAAAATAAATGTCCAGAATCAAATCCAGTAAGTAGCAGAGGCAGAATTTGTACACTGTTATGTGGGCCACTAATGTTGATATATTACATTCAGTATGTACCAACTGGTAGGAGACATGCTATCAGTGGTATGAGAAGTAATTTTAATTAGTATATAGACATAGCATTAAATCATACTGAAAATATAAAAATTAAATGCTTTCCAATCTTTTGATTATATAAAGAGAAAGCTTCAGTTTGAAAGACATGCCTTTTTTCATCTCTAACACTTGTTAATTTCTCCTAAGAAAGAGAGGGCAGGCCCCAGGTGCAGCACGTTGACAGTGATACTATTTTGGTAGTTTAATAATATTTCCATTTTCATTGTATTTATTTTTATAGTTATAGTTATAAATATAGTTATTTATTTTTAGTTTATAGTTTTGTTTGTGAACAGATGATACTGATTTTAAATTTACTAAAGGAATGTGAAGTTTGAGTTATATCCCTCATTTAAGACTGATACAAAATTTTAAAGTAATAAATAGTAGTTCAATTGATACTTGGGTATGGTAAAAATCATGAGGATGGTACTTAATGAGGTTTATTGCCTGCCCATCAGCTCTGGGTTGAGGAGGAAGCTAGTTTGAAGTTCCATCCTCAACTCGGTTCTGCTATGGGCACTAGCTGGAGAGAATCACAAATTAAAATTTACAACCAATCGTTTCCTGTGAGATTCCCTAAGTATTTCTCCTTTATCAAGTGAATTCCCCAGGACGAGTGGGGAGTCTTCTACAGATTAGTGAAGCTGGGAATGAGAATGAGTTTAGTGGGAAATCTAAGCTTCCTGTCCTATCCAATTGCCAATTACAAGCCAGGTGTGGCTGGTGGAGATAGTACAGTGGGAAAATGCCAGAAGGAGAAATGGATACTATGTGCATTTATCACCCTTTTAGTCCCTGATCCAACTTCATAGCCTGAGTTTGGGGTCCTCCAGTATTTCCAAGCTACATATTTAAAGCTTATGTGGGATATGAACAGGACCAAAATTTTAGGATATAAACGACGTGGCTGCGAATTTCTATATTGGAGGGGTTTGGGACAGGGGAACAGTGCGGTCAGAAGGGAGTTTCTGGATTGTGTTTGTACATGATTTTACACTGTATGTGAACTCAAGTGTCCAAATAGGTGGTTGGGTGGGGGGATCCTAAGTAACAAAGCCAAGTTTTAGTCTTGATAACACTGGCTGGACCACTTTGGCCCCCGCAACCCCCGCAACCCCCGCAACCCCCGCCCTCTGTTCCCCCAGCGTTCCCTCTGAACAAGTTTGTTAGTGTCCCAAACCGTCCTCGCATGAGGTCATTCTTCTAGGTCACGTGCCCGAGGCCGCGGGAGCGCCACATCGCCAGCCGCACCCGTCCGCCCCAACCCTACCCACGTGACCCGGCCTACTTTCTCCCCGCCCGACCTAAACGACTTGCTCAGGAAGCCCCGCCCCACGCAGGCGCTCGGCCTGCCAACCTCCGCCTCTCAGCCACCCAGCCTCCAGCGTGGCCGGCCGTCCCACGTGTTTCTTCCTGTCCAATGGAAGCGGGCGCCCGGGCGCGAAGGGGCGGGGAGGAAACGACGACTACGTTACGCTGGGAGAAAGGGGCGGGGCCTGCAACGTCGGACTGAACGAGGGGACGCAACGGAGGCAGGCCGGAGCCGCTGCCGTCGCCATGACCCGTGAGCACTGAAGCCCCCTCCTTTTGCCCTTTCCTCCCTTTCCATCCTAGATACGAGTGCCGAATTTCGGCATTGACCTCCTTTAGGCTTCCCCACTGAGGCCTTTCTCTGGGAGCGCTCTTTAGCGACCCTCACACTCGGAGCCCGGAAATCGATCCATTGCCCACTGCCACTTCTTGAGAATTTCCCCCCACCCTCCCCCGCCCCGTCAGGCAAGGGTCCTCCTCGACCTTCGGCGGTGTGGGAAGAAGCCCTGCGCCCCTGTGATAGACCCAGAGACCCCCTACTCCAGGTCCCTGCCCATCCCCCACAGGCCAGCTCGTGCACACACCCCGCCACTTCACTGGGCCCCCATGCCGCCCCGAAATTCGAAACGCGCTTCTAGCAGACTCCTTGGGACCGTCCTCCCACCCCCACCCCCCGGTTTGACCTGCCCCGTGGCAGCTCTCCCCCGCGCCCCGCCCGATCTGCAGCCTAGGCCCGGAAACGGGCCGGTGTCCGCGCCCGGGGAATGAAGTGTCGGAGCCTATTGGTGTTCGGCTGAGGGAAAAGGGTCGCCGGTGTGTGGCCAGAAAGGCCCCCGCGTCTCAGCCTTTTACCTTCTTTCTTTAGGCGGTAACCAGCGCGAGCTCGCCCGCCAGAAGAACATGAAAAAGCAGAGCGACTCGGTTAAGGGAAAGCGCCGAGATGACGGGCTTTCTGCTGCCGCCCGCAAGCAGAGGTAGCCCCAGGGAGGGGAGGGGAGGGGAGGGTGAGGCCTGGGTTAGACCAAGGGTTGTGCCAGGAAAGAGCTACCTCAGGGCTTACATATGGACTAGTCGTGAGGGACAAAGTGCATTGTTTCCTCTAGGGTTTTATTTCTCTAACCCTCTAAATTGTTGGCTCACTGTTACAGGAAGGGACTGGGGCGGGTGCCTGCCCTCGGTCTGATTTCTGAGTGCCCCTTGGGTCTGACCTTAAGGGCAAGGGCAGGGAGCTTCACATTTCAAATGCAGTAGTGGTTATGACATCCCGGTACTTTTGGCCCTCCTTGCGGTTCATTTGCCCTCCCTTTTCCCAACCTTCTCATTGGTGTTGCTGGGTGTGGTACTCAGCACAGCCTTGGGCCTGTGTGGCCAGACTTCTGACCCCTTGGGCAACAGCCAGATAGAGACTGATTGCCTTTTGAGCCCCAGCTCTCTTCCTCTTGTACTCCTAGGGTGGGAATGCAGCAGCCACATGCTGAATTTTGTCCCATCCACTTCCATCTTGTCCTTTGTGCCCTTCATCCCCCTGCATCTTGTCCTTTTTGCCCTCTGGTACCTCCCAGTGCCCCATCATCTCTACCCCC